GGGCCTAGTACAATCGGAGGATTCTGAGGCAATTTGACAACATGAGTTACTTCTTTTGGATTTTAGCCCAATGTAAACAGATAGGCCTATGTGGCAAATTCTTAGGTTGGGTTTTTACAATTTATCAGTAGGAAATCATAAAACAAATTATGTTAAACTTCATGAAAATGGCCTGAGTTAAACGATGTCAAAATTTGACCCCTTGCCCTTAGTGGATGTTGGGCTGATATCTCCTTTCACGATGTGTGTGACGTAACTCATTTTGTCAGCAAACCTCGCAGTTCATCGTTGTCTCCCACCTCCCCCCGCTCCCCCCCTCTAGTTTTCGACGTAAAGCCACACTCTGAGCCAGTTCTCAAGTAGCTCCTCATGTCTTTTCCCGTGATGTCACAAACCCTGCGTGGTCTGTTCATGTGATGTCACAAACCCTGCGTGGTCTTTTTACGCTGTGAGGACAGAGACTTCTCCTAACGCAAGTCTAAATCAGTTGTGACATTTATCTAAATCTTAATCAGCTGTGACGCAGCTTTGACTTTTATCTAAATCAGCTGTGACGTTTAATTCCTAAAATAGCGGGTGACTTCAGAAGTGCGTATCTGAGCTGTGTGCGGATTCCTACTGTGTGGTTTGTCATTTTTTCTTTGATTGATGATGTATCTTTTTTGGGAGTTAGTCCTTTAGTCAAGTTACTAATTCTGCTTTCCAGTCTTTTTGATTCGTTGTCATCATTATAATCAAGATGTGAATGTAACCATTAGAATCTGGCCTTACAATAATGTTTTCTCCATCAGAGTCATGGTGTTCTCCCAGATGATGATATGAATCTTTTCTATCTCGGCTTCCCTGCCACCTTGTTCACACGTTCAAGTTTATCTGGCGATTTATCCTACAAAGAGGAACAACACGTTTGCCACTGGGACTTTGGCTTTTATCATCTCTACACTTTTCTTTTCTTTTTTTCTGTTTACGACAAAAACAAAAAAATGTTCTGATTTTTATTCTCTCTTCGGCTTATATATGTTGAATTGTTCACAGTTTTCATGATCATTATTAGTATACAGTTTAATTAACTATACCTTCACACAGTTTGTTTTTTAAAAGATAAAACACAGGAAAAAAATAGAAGAAATGAACGCAGTTTTGGTCCATCTCTTCATATTTGTTTGTTTTGATTTTTTTTCTCCATTTTCTGAGCTGTATCATAGATGTTCATTTCAATAAAGACAATTTAATTCAAAACAGTTGTTTTTCCGTCATTATTTTCGTTCTGGCTTTCATATAATATGCATGTATTGAATACATAGAATTTTTCTTTTCTTTTTCTTGAAACAAATGGTACTTTTCTGTTCTTTGAATGTCGTGTGGGCGGTTGGCGGGTGCTGTTGTGTGGTGATCTCCTTCTGTCCTGCCAAACATCTATCGTCCTGATCTTTTCTCCTTCTTTTCTATATACACCGTATAACTCTTTAAAAACACCTCTAATCTTCGGCACTTAGATGATCTAATTGTGTTGCAAGTGCCGTAAAACTTTTACTACAACTGAACTATGAATATTGTGTGGAACTCAGAAACTGCAACAAGAAAATTGTGATTTTTCCACAGGTTATAGCAAATTGATGTTGAAAAAGGCCCAAAAAATGAGAAAAAGATTTTTGAGTACAAAAAGTATTGCTTTATTGAAGGAAATGTTTTACAATGAGAGGCCACCACATGGCTCCTGATTCTCCGAGTGCGAAGGTGGACGTGGCTATACGACTCCCGTCCTCAACAACACAGCAGGAACAGCAGGAAAATCAACATTGTTGCTGACATTTGTATCAAGCCCAACGTTCTCAATTTAAAAAAAAAAATTCCAACGTGGTATCGGTTGCATATGATCAAGAAATCTTTTGGCGAAGATCAAATTCTAATTTTTTTTTTAATGCAAGAAAAGATACATAATATTGATGACGTAAAAAGAATGAACCGGTTTTTTTATCCACTAAAAATCTCATTTGCTTTTTGGGCTTAGTGCCTCTGAACATCTTGTCTATGACATGGTCCCAGCGAAAGTACAAAATACAGCTTGTTTGTTTGTTTGTTTATCTGTTTGTAGGTTTGTTTAAGTAGAGAGAAGAACATGAACACAATAAGTGCAGCGAGAGGACACAGACAGACATTGGTCATTATACATACACAAGTTTTACTTTTTTTCAGCACTAAATTCCAGAAGGCAGAGTCAAACAGATGGAGAGCCGTAATAACTGCCCTAAACAATTTCACCGATGTTCAGAATTCTCCACTTAGATGGATTTAAACCAGAGTCATCCACTCCGTAGTTGAGCAAGGTATCAGCTGAGCTCACCGTGTGACCCGACACACAGACAAAAACAACACAGGGAAGAAAATGTTGGACCTACCAGTGACGCCCTCCAACCACCCATTGCTCTGGTACAGCAGTTCATAAAACACTGACTTCCAAACCACATGGTCCCTTAAACCTTACAAAATAACCTCATTTCATAGCTGAGCTTCAATCAAACAAAAACATTCTTATCATTTATTGTCAAGTCAAGAAATGAAAGTTGCCTCAGGAATGAGAAAAGTGGATTACAAGTAGAATGAGGTACAGTGAATTCTGAGGAGAAGTTCTGTCGACTGACAGCACCCACCCGTCCATAAATGTATTATGCTTTCCATTTCAAGGAAAATAGAACAACGCCATAACATTATAACATAACCCTCAACATGCGCATAATTGCAATACTGGAAACTGAGATCTCGTGAAAAGACAACATAGTTTGAAAAAAGAACCAACAACAGTTTGTTGTTTCTGTTTTTTTCTTATTTTTTAAGGTGGGTGGGGAGGGGGGGGGGTATTGACATGCAACAGTGACTAAAATTTAATCAAAATCAACCCAAATTTGCTTTCTGTCAACAAACAGGGAGCAGTCATGAATTCAAGCCTGAGGGACAATTTTAATTTATTGATGATTATTTCAAAAAGCGTCCTGATAAAATGTTTACGAAGAATTTTGCTAATAAAATGGAATGAATTTATTGCAAATAATGAAGTGTTGGAAAGAGCTGGAATTTAAGATATCAACACAACAGTTTAAAAAAGGGAAGATGGAGGTATTTGGGACATGTTCTGAGAATCTCGAAGCTTTTTAATTTAAGTTGAATTGTTTTGTATGTTTCCCATATCTCTGAACCATACGTCAATATAGCCAAAATATTGCTATTATATATTTTTAATTTCATCTTTAGTGAAATGATCTTTGACTTCCATAGTTTTTCATTTCACCAAAGCGATCCAGGAATGAGGTAATTAAGGAACTAGTGGGCAGTGTAGGTACAGACGATAACTTTTATTTTTTAAAATTATCATAACGTATAGCAGCCATCTAGATCTAGAACCTATAAGTTTCCCCCATTCACCGTTACAAGTTACAGAAAAAGTCCAGGTTCTAGCACTCTTCAACTTTAATTCTTTATCGTTCTCTGAATTCGTATATCACGAGTTCCTCCCCTTGACAAATAGCGGGAAATCCCATAACTCTTGCAAACAACGCAACTAGGGCATCTACTAAATATACTGAGTTGTCTCTCTTGGCATGAACACAATCGGTCATTGAATCTTATTGACTTATGGCGTCAGTGAACAAAACCCAAATGTCTGTGATGGTGTAATACAGGAAGTGTGTCTTGTGCGTTGTAGGTGAGTCATTGCTTGCATGCAGTCGGCTCGCCAATGACAACCAAATTATATAGAACAATTTATCAATGTTAGGATTGTAACCATAATAATACATCATATAAAATAGATGATAGAGAATACATACGTAATATAAGGTAATATGTTCTGCGCCATTTAACGATCGTATAATTGCGTGGTAATCTGAAGATCGCGTTAATGTTTTATATTTTTGTAATAATTTGTAAAAAATTCACTTCCATCTTTATTCTGTTTCTCACATCAAGGAACATTCACGTATATTTTCAAAAGTGTTAAATATGAACATTAAAATAGAAATTAAGATATGAAACTGAAGAGCTCACTAGAACGATGCAATTATACGATCGTTAAAACGCGCAGCGCAATCTTAAGATTGTGCCGATCAGTAAATAGCGCGGAATATATTATACTAGATAATATGCCTATCATCATTCATGAATGTATATTATATCTATATATAAGTATATATATGTATATATCAATATAGGTATTTACAAAATTATATCATGCATGTGTGTAAGCCGCATGACACCCTCCTCTGTGTCTATGCCTTGCCTTTGGCCAGACGGTAGTCGTAGAACTGGTGCACCAGTGCTTCCTGCTCTGGGGTCTCGATGGAGCCGGGTCTGAGCTGACGCACATGCTTGATGGCAGCCTCTGGCTTCATGGTCTGAGCGTAGTAACATCCCAGCATGGTGCCCGTGCGTCCAAGGCCGTGAGCACAGTGCACACACACCGCCTGGTGGGAACACACATCACAATTGTTGAAACACACACTGGTGGAGGGAGCACACATCACAATTGTTGAAACACACACTGGTGGAGGGAGCACACATTACAATTGTTGAAACACACACCGCCTGGTGGAGCACACATTACAATTGTTGAAACACACACTGGTGGTGGGAGCACACATTACAATTGTTGAAACACACACTGGTGGAGGGAGCACACATCACAAATGTTGAAACACACACTGGTGGAGGGAGCACACATCACAATTGTTGAAACACACACTGGTGGTGGGAGCACACATTACAATTGTTGAAACACACACTGGTGGTGGGAGCACACATTATAATTGTTGAAACACACACCGCCTGGTGGAGCACACATTACAATTGTTGAAACACACACTGGTGGAGCACACATCACAATTGTTGAAACACACACTG